TGTTTAATGCTGTTTGCACCGGGGATAAGAGGGAAACGCAATTTCAATTCTCTGTATGTCCTGCACATATGGCATTATTGATAATAAAGTTGACTTGACTTGACTTGAATATAAAACATTGTTGAAAACATGTTAGTTAATAATATTCTTATGCTCAATAAATGTAATAATTATTGAATCGGGAGTAAAAGTAAGACAAAACATTCTAAAAGTTGATGTGTCTTTACATATTTTGTAGCATTGTCTGTGGGTTTGCAAAGGGGGTCCCCGGCCAGAAGCTAATGCTGTTTGGGGGGCCATGGCATGGAAAAGTTTGGGAACCCCTGCTCTACACTATACGATGATCGTCGGGCTGATTTTTGACAATCGCAGAGCTGTTCCCGATTGGAGGCCAGTCCGAGCTGATATCTGCCCAAATAATCCTGAAGAGTGAAGAGTTCACAAAATAATTGTAGTGCTACCAATTAAGTTGGAGCCTCTCCGATCTCGATAATCAGCTCAGATGGAATACTGAGCATAAATTGCAATAGCCAATGAGAGCACGCCGAATGGATAGCGTTGCCAACTGGTTGTTGCGTACTTGTATAACTGCTACTAAAAACAACAATACTTTTCCTACTTACCTCCAGCTCAGGTTACTGTGCGTTTCTGTGAGATTCCAAGTCTCTGGAATTGCCATTATGAAAACGTTTCCTACAAACATTTCAGAAAGTCAGATTTCTTCTCTTTGTGACCATTAAGGGGAAGGTCCACTCTAATTGAAGCTCTACTGTGGGAACAACATTTGATTCATATCACAAACTCTAATTGCATTGTGTTCACGAGGCGTGTCATGATTTTTATTGAATACAGACACTCCAACCACCCCAACGCACAGAAACCCAAAGTAACACACAGCTGTGAGCAATGTTTTTTCCTCTTCTGTTGAACCTCACCCAGTCTTCACTTGTTCTTGGACTCAAGTACTTTCCACAATAGAGCTGTCAAGGCTGATTGATTTCTGCTCCTTTGTCATTGCCATGTCTTTGTTGGGGGCTGTTTGTGTCCTGTTCCTAAAATAACACCTCCTGATTTCATGTGGTGCGTGGATAAAACTTCCTCCCCAGTTTTAACCCACAGGAAGTCTTAGACTGAGGCAACACACACACACACAAACACACAAACACACACACACACACACACACACACACACACACACGCCTATGAAGAAGCTGATGATTTCAAACCCACATCTTGCCACTAAAGGTCAAGAAACCATTGGAGAAAATTTAGCCTCATAGCCTATTTATTCATTCAATACCAAATTTGAAAAAAAAAATATGTTCAATCGTCCACTGAAATTAAAGTGGACTGGAAGATGACGCTCAGTAATGATGCTCTGCTCCATCTCCTTCCAATCACAGACTCACTCTCTGCTTTCACACCTTGCACTAGGCTGGAGATATTTATGAAACTGAATATTTGCTGGACTCATAACGAGCCTAACATAGAACTAAAATAGACCAGAATTCATTTCATTAATACCTGTAATAGACATGTCCATTTGGCTGAAGCTTTAATTAAATAAATCCACTCCTCATCCTGAGGGTCAGTTTTGGGGAGGGTCTGTGGGGGATTTCTGACCACTGCAATATGTTTTCACTGACCATTCATGTACATAATGTATTTTCCACAATCCTCCCTGCAGACTTCACAAATGCCCATCGGGGGCATTAGCTGTTCCTGGTAGTTAGAATAATATGAGAGTCCTTAAATGGATGTTGCCTGTGTTAGTACAAAACCAGCAGTTTGAATCGTTTTAGTGATGTCTCGAACCCTGGTTTTACAATTTTCAGCCTTTTTTCTTTGCCTGAGCAAGAAGCTTAAGCTTTTAGTAAGAGCACTTTCACACCTTCAGACTTTAGTCCGAGGCTGCCTAATCAAAAGAAGTGATTCCTTTTTTGGATCCTACTGAACCATGTTCCAGATTGTTTGCCGTGTGAAAACACTTTTTCGGACTTAAAACAAACCAGATCATATGTAACAAAGACATGAACCTTGTTTAAAACTTTTAGATGGGAAAACGACGTCATTAAGTAAATACAAGCTTTTACTCTCAACACAAACTTCTTAAGGAAACTGTGAATGCAAAGTTTTTGCAAAAGCAGAATTTAGAAGATGAGTGTTATTATAATTATGCAGTGATACTTATAAAATGTGCATAAACTAATGAGTCTTTAACTGCACATAAGATAACACTATTATTCTGTGCTGTCAAAGTTGCAAATAATGAAATACAAATGTGAAACAGGTTTTCAGACAAGTAAACAAAATGCCTAATCTGTATTTGCACATCCAGATGATGTTAGTCAGTGAATACAAAGTTATTTATGCTGGTACTTGCTTGTGTAAGAATCACTGCACAGTCTGTCTGCCCCCAAGAATTCCCTTTGCTGCAAAGTTTTGTGAAATTCATAAAGAAAACTATCTAAATTAAATGAACTTGATTCAAGCCAAGGTTTGAAAATACATTTCAAAGTCAGCCCTAAGTGTAGCTACGCAATGCTGCATAGTGTCTCTCATAATGTTGACGTCAGAGAAGCAAAAGACATTTTCTGCATCACAACTAAAGGTAGAAGTTTTGAGTTTTTATGATGAATATGATCATCTGGACCTTCAATGTCCTTAAAATATCTGATGTTTGCTCCCAAGAGGAAACACAACAACTGGTCCAACCTACAAAAGATTCAGTAGAATATAACACATGGAAAAATAAATCATATCTAGTGATATCAACAGACCAACTATATCCAATTTACTTGGCTTGAATTTTCATTGTATAAAATTCATTGGTATTATGATCACTATGAATTTCAGATAAACATTTTTTTTTTTTTATGAGGTGCTGCTACAACACCTGGATTTAACTCCTGGGGGAGTAAACCTAATTATAGCATTACGATTATAGCAGCTGTCCCTTGCCCCTGGGAAGGAAGAAAATCTAGGAACATGGTTTGACTTGTTTCAAAGAGTAAAAGGTTTGTTGTTGCACTTTCTGCCGTTACGTTTTTTTGCCTTTTATTAATTATGTACATATCATTTTATTTTGTGATCAATTTTGTTTTTATTTTCTGTCTTGCGACTCCATGATTAAACCATTCCAAATGATTACTCATGTCTGTCTTTCTAATAATAAAAGTTTGAACATTGATTATAAGGTTGTTGTGAGTCCACATTTGATGCTATTTCACCGTCCTGTAATGACTGTTATATCTAAAACCTTTATAATTCTGCTAAAATACTATTTTGGTGCATTTTCTAAGCATGGATTCAATCCATTGTGAGATTACTGAATGCAGTTATTCATATCAAATATTACAAATAACCCTGATTATTCAGAAAATTTGCTAAACACCCACATATCACACTAATGAGAAACTTTGACCAACAGAGGGATTGACGTACCTCAATTGTTGGGGCTTTTTTTTAGGGTCACATCCTAAAAGCTCTAATATCTTCCATCTACTATTGTCTTATTGTTTAGTCAGAACCATATTTTCTGTCGTGTCATTCAGTTGATTTCTCCTGTGAGACATTATAATGTAGTGAATATTCTCGGCTCAGACATGGCCGCCTCCAGCTTCAGAGGTTTATATACAAGCATGATGAAGGAGGTGTTTTCACAGAGGCTCCCAGATCACTCAATCACAAACACACACACACACACATTATTGGAAATGTGTGCTTGGCCAATCTATAATTCATCCACTGACAACTTATTACCTTCTGCACATCAAGACTCACATGAGTCTATAATTTAATGCTACAGTAATCTCCAATGGAAGCATGCGCGTTGATTGATAATAGTTCCAGTGATCGGCTTTGCAGCCGAGCATGGTGTGGAATAACTGTGCAATGATATGCATGCATGTGCGCACACATAGAAGGAATTTGTTTAATCCATTTGTCTTATTTTTCAGCTCATGCAGGAACATGCATTACGAGTTTCTGCAGTGAAAGCCTTCACATGATCAGTTAATTTTTTCACTTTTATATCACACATTTAAAGTGCAGAGCCGGTTCTAAACCTGCCGGTTTGGAATGGACTGTTTGTTTGACCTGTGTTAATGCTCCGCAACTACTTCAGAATTGTTCCTTATCATTAGTGAGTCCTCCTCGAATAGTTTTACAATAAACTGTCACTGTTTATTGTTTGTGTGCTGCAGAGCTTTTTATAAACAGTCAATTGTGGAGAGTGAAGTTAGAAAACTGTGTGTTCGTCCCATCTGGTTTCTGCAATGCAGATTTATAGTCCAGAGACTGAAGGCACACTGCCCACTGACAGCTAAAGATTTTTACTTAATTTTTCTTAATATTGTGTATTGTGTAAAATGGTAGATATGCATTCCACAGACAAACATTTGTGCAATTAGTAGGTAGATGCATGTCAGCCCCGGATCAGAAGATTCACTCCATACCAGCAAAAGAGTGAATCTATCTCCACTACTCATGTCTGGTTCTCATATTGACACAGCACATACTGACACTTTTTTTATTTGCTGACACGATTCACTTTAATTGGATCCACAGAGACACATAAAACACAATAATTTGGCTTCTTATATAAAACCTTTCATGTTCACTTGTGACATTGTGTTCCTTTTTGACAACTTTAACAACAGTTTAAATAAAAGGAGAGAGGCACAATCAGGTTCTGCAAAAAAAAAAACCTCTCGTCTTTTCTCAAGGTAATTAGTCATGTATTTTTTCAACGTTGAGTCACCTGGACTGCGAGCAAAAACGCAGAACTACACATCCCTCCACCCATCCCCCTCTGTCTTTATAATATTGACTTTTTATTCATATTTACATTATACAGCACACTTAGCTTCAAACAATATTTGTTTTCTGTCCTTGATCTAGAACTTCATCAGGAACGCGTGAAAATCCTTGTTTAGCTCCATTGTGATTTTAAATCGATTGACAATTCAATCAAGTCCATTTCTTCACTGAACTTGAATTCCTTAAACTTAATTTATCTGGTTTCCTGAAGTCAAAATAATGAAAGTGGCTCCATGAGGCACATTTTATGTCATGAAATACAAAAAAGAAACTGTTCCTCCATTGGCAATGTGGTGCTCTTTTCAACCCAGAATATTCACATTATGTTGTGAATGTAACACGTTCACTTTAAAAAGGACTCCTCTCATCTGTGCATATTGCATACTGTGTAATTCTTTGCCTCCATTCTTTCTAAACAATACTGAATACCTGGATAACTGTGCAGCTGTATAGGGATTGGACTGGAGCCATCTGATGATGATGATGATGATGATGATTATGATTATGACGATGACGATGACGATGACGATGATGATGCTCCAACTTTCCGAGTCTGTGCAATGGCGATATTTTTTTTAAATCACTGACTCCAGGTGCTGCGGAAATTATGTTTCTACTTACATATGTACAGTTAAATGAATTGTTTCATTGTCACATATTTCTCCATTGATCATATACATTCAGACAGGAGATCCTGTTTAAAAAAGAAGAATAGCTCTGAAACAAAATAAGAAAGAATGGATTTAACGCTTCGCTCAATTGACGTGAAATGCACAATATTGTACTATTATTATTTTCTTGTAGGCTTTAAGCTAAATATCAGAGCACAGTCTTGAGGATGACAGCGTCCACCCCCGATGAGGCCGATGGCAAAAACTGTGTAACAGAGTCAGTGGTCCCCAGTGATTTACTCACTCCTGTCTTTATAACGGTGTTGAGGCATCAGGATTTAAATTCTCATCCACATTTGGGCTCATAAAACCAGAAAAGACAAAAAGGGGGGGGGGGGTTGTACCACAAACAAGCGTGCGTTGCTGCAAGAAGTCACACAACACAAGCATGATTCACAATGGCAACAACAGCACAAATGGAAAGATGTGGACAAGGTGGGAGTCAAAGAGTCAAGATGACATCATACAAACACACAAAGTGGAACATCACAGAGCTGAATCATTCCTCATGTTTCAAGTCTTTGATTGTTTTTTTGCTCAAGGTCCTAAAATCAATAAATATGAATTTGCAGGCGGGCAGGTGAAAACATTAATTCCTGTAGCATTATGCAGAGATAACCTCCCGATCCCCGTGGGTCACTTCCTAATTCTCCTCCTCAGCACAATCAGTGTGAGTTTCTATGACGACTGCTTGGAGGAGGTTTTGTCCTCAGACATTGGTCTCCTCTCCTTTCAGAGGGTATATGTGGCAGTGCGGCCTCTCTTCCAGACACACATCCTCTGTGGTGGTGCTGCCGCGGCTGCAGAGGCCTCGGCGTGGTGGGAAAGAGAACCGCAGGGAGTGTTTGCCCCTGGCGGACCGGCCCTTCCCCGTCCCGTTACTGTAGGAGACGACCAGCCGGCGGTTCTCCTCTGGTGCGACGGCGCACGATGGTCCTCTGATGGTTTTGTTGAGGCGGGGGGAGTCGCCGCTGGGTTCATCGGGCAGATTGCCGGCTGCGATGCTGCCACTCTTGATGTGGGGTGTGTGGCTGTGGGTGTGGCGGTACTCCTCGTCAATGTCCTTACCCAGCTTCCACCTCTTCCACTTTTTTAGCATCTCAGACTGCACCTGAGGAATGATGGAACAGCAGAGAGAATAGAGGGAGGACAGACACATGAAGGTATGTGATGAAGATTAAATATGAGCACAGAGCACTTCATTAGATGGACGTCTCCTGCCAAAGAATACATTTAATAATTTAGAGATTAGCAAATGGATGATGTTGTGTCCATCCCACTTTGTAGACAAATGAATCAAGTAGGACTTGAGCAAAGATGGAGTTTTTAAGTTATACAAAAGAAGGATAAAAGCCAGCGACAGGAACACTGATGATGAAATATGTCTAATTTACCCTCACTACAGGGGGAAAGGAAGGAAGTGCAGCTATGGCAGAGATTGCATTAAGATGGTCCTTGACATGTAAGCACATCTGTCTCACCTCTTTGTTGACAAAGCAGTAGAGAATGGCGACCAGCAGGCCCTGTAATAGAAGGTGGACCTTTAGTATTTTATCAATATTAGATACTAAACAACAAGCTATTGCTCTTTTCAGTATTATTAATTCATATGAGGTGATTGTCAATCAGGTCGTCCTTGAGGCCAGGTGAATGTTTGTTCCAGATGTAATGAAATTCCCTGTGGGTGTTCCTGTTATATCATGTTCACAAGAACTTGAGATCACCTCGATCTTTGACCTGAAACAACTAAATTCTAATTGCTAGCAAATCTGAAGAAATTTCTTCAAGGAGTTCTTAAGGTATAGTGTTCACAAGACAACAAATGTGAGGTCACAGCCACCTTGATGTTGAAATTTGGTTCATCGTTGAGTCCAAATTAAAGTTAGTACCACAGATACATAAACTAAAATTAAAAAGTAATAACAATAATTGTACCTGGTATCACATCATCAATGCACTGCAGTCAAGAGCAAGCAAGTGTTTGCAAGTCCAGTTTTGAATGTGCATGTATAAGACTACAGACCAATGTTGAGCGGGTCGTGTATTTAGGTATTATCACTAACACACTAAATGAGAAACACACATTCAGCGAAGTCTTTGCTATTGACCTGACGTCTCCATTTGATGGCAAAGCAACTCTCAGTGTGTGTGTGTGTGTGTGTGTAATACACTGAAGAAAACAATGTGTAACAAAGCCAGGGATGGAAGACGATGGCTGGCAAGTTAACACTTCTCAAGAAATCAGATTTGCAAAGATAGAAATGAATTATAATGACTCCCGGCTGTAAACAGAAGCATTGCTTGTTTATGAGAAAATGACACAAAGCAGCTGTAAATACAAAAGGGTCCTACTGTTTATTCATTTTTTATCAATTTCTACTTTGGTTTACATTTTCCCAATTTAAAAGTGGTGAAACATTTTGCACTAGAACACATTCAAATGTATAAAAACATGCAATTTGACTGAACACATGAATGAAAAGAGCCAAACACCCAGTTGTATTATAATAAGTTTCCTGAAAGGCCATATACGTTAAAGAATCAAGTCCCTTAGAAACCATTGTCTACATCCAAAAAAAAGATTTAAAAACACAACATGAAAACAGTGTGTTAAGTGTGTTAAGATTCCTGTGAAGTCGATTCTCACCTGGAAGGAGTTGAACAGGAGGTCACAGAAGAGACGAATGAGACGCAGCATGGAGCCTTTGGGAACCGACTCGTCGATGACGAAGGTGAAGAGGATGGCGTGAATCCCCAGCAGGGGGATGAGAGTCAGAGTGGACTTTGCAAGTCTGGAGCCGAGAAGGAAAATGAGGAATAGTTGCAAAGATAACAAAACATTAAATGGTAATAACATATATACAAAGATTATGCTCTTCAGTACAATCATTCTGAAATGAAATGCAAAGTGATAAAAATGTTAATTTCCATGATTTTAAAGCAGCTGTAATCAGTGTATTCAAATTCAATAAATAGTGATTAATAACCAACTTTTCTACTGGTCTGCAGAATATTACAGTATTTTTTCTGTTCATATTTTGATTATCTGGCCTCCATTCTCATCGAGTGTTATTTTCAAGTGGAATTTTTATCCCCCTGTTTTTAGAAACAGGGGTTCTCTCACCTGAACTTGTAGTCGGTGTATCTCATCTGATGAGCTCTGAGTTTAGACATCAGGATCTTTATGATGCGGATGAAAATGAAGAAGTTGATCTGGAGTAAGTAGAGAAGGGAATTTTAAGTGGAGTCATATGAGCAAAATATGTTCAAGAGATGTTTAGATATAATGAGTGTGAGAGGGAGAGAGAGAAAGAGAGAGAGAGAGAGAGAGAAAGAGAGAGAGAGAGAGAGAGA